CAAATCCATTTGTACCCTTACAAAAAAGCAAAACCTCAAACCAAATCTAGAATTTAGCTTTCAAAAAATTAAGGGTCCATTTGATTCATAATTGGTTGCACATTAGAAACATMTTATGTATTTGTATTTATTATTCATGGAGAGATGTTGCCAATACAAGATGGAATGTGATTRTAAGGTCGGTATGAGGATTACTGTGGGAGGAGCAGATCCCCATTCACTTATCTCATATCTGAACTATATATTTAGGGATGCCAATAAGTTAGATTCAGCATGGATTTGTCTCAATCCTACCCCGATCTTCCAGCTAGTGTCCCAACCCAAATCCCACCCAACCACATAGGGTCCAACATTTAGGGGTAACATGACCCGGCAAGACAGGTCTGCCAAAATCCAAATCTGACTGGAATAAGAAAAAAAATACGATGTAATACATCCGATATAATACAAAGTGTATCATATCGATTTTTTAAACCTTGATTCAAAGTACAAATATACCCCTTCTGCCTTTTCAGGATGCATGGAACTATTGGTATTTTAAACCTTACCTTGATGTATCCAATCTGCAGTTGGTAAGTGCAGGTTCAATCTAGTGTGTTCTTACATAGATTGTAGAAATAAAGATATAAACTGTGAACCATAAATCTCAAAACTTAGGTTTTGAATTAAGAGTGCAAATTGCCAAATTGGCCCCATAAAAATTCAAAATGATGAAATAATAACAGTGACTTGCATCTGATGATCTTGCTTTGCTACTCAACTTGTGCTTTGGGGGATGTGAGGAAGAACCGGTCAAGAGTTGAAACCGAGTTGCACGCATATAATAAATTTTTTAATCTTGCCTTGATGACTTGATCTACCCAATCCGCAGCGACAGCATGCAGGTCAAGCGTATAGATTGCACAATAAGTAAAGATAAACAAATTATCAAACATAAAATTCAAAACAAAGTTTTTGGTGTAACAATAAATAAAAGAGCAAAAATGGTCTCCTAAAAGTTCAAATTTCAAAATGATGGAATGCTGACTTTGCATCAGTTGACTCTGTTTTGCTACCGAATTTAAGCCTTGGAAATGGGAATGTGATACGTAGGTATCATACCTTTACCGTATCATAGAGCTACCCTACCGTTATTTACTTGAATRTTTTTATCTAATTATCACAACAATACAAATGATTCTTGACCGTAGGTCGATTAAGGTAAATGTGTTGCACACTATAATGTAGATTTCAATAAAACTTGAAACTATAAGGAATGTTTTAGTAAATGATACATCATGATATTATATGTATGGGATATGTATCCGATGTAATTGTAGAGCTATCTATTATTTTCATATTCTAATACCCCGTAACAAATGAAAGTTCAATTGTTCAAACACCAAAGTGCCACTACACAGCGGAGATGTACTGTGGGACGTGGTGAGGGGCTGATTTGAATTCATTTGTACTGTATATATTTGTACTTATACTCTATCCACATTAAGGTAAGGCTCAAAAGTATAAATGTAAATATGTACAATATAAATACATACAAAATATAATGTTTTGCACTCTACGTATTTGCATTTGTACTCCTTCCCAACTGAGCCTAGGAAAAAACAAAAGAACATTTACAAGAAGTTAGAACTTAGAATTACGTACTGACCTGCTCTAAGCATGGACGAAGAAGAAAATTGGAAATATAATTCCAAGGATTATGGGCAATTTTTCAGTCTTCATTCCCTGCACTCTGCTTGGATTAGGAGTAGGGCTACTATTATCATTCTGTAGACTTGAACATGAATTTCCCAACTCACACAAATCTGGATTGCCAGAAGTACTGCATCATGCATGGGCGTAAAATGAAAGTCAATTATAAGAATAAAAGGGTGACAGTCACAACAATTAATGGGGGATGAGGGGTGGCAATTCACTTACTAAAGTTTTATTCTGTTATTTCCTCCGAGCGAGGAAGGAATTGATCCACGAAATTTGTTATTTGTCAAGTTCCTTTCATAAAGAATAGGTCGAAACAATGGATTAGAAAATAAATTTGTCTTTTAATTTTGGACATGTGATCAAAGGAAAATTATATATAATATATATATATACGAATGAGTACCCATCTATGTATATTGTATAGACTTACAACAGTGTCAAATGTGGAAAATTTCCAAGGAAATCAGGAATTTCTCCACTTAATTTGTTATTGCTCAAGTCTCTGCAAATGATACGAAGGGGAACATAAATTAGATTAAAGAAATTTTTTTTCATGGTATCATTTCTTTGCATGCATTCTTAATAGTTATTCCATGCTATTTAGACTTACATTTCTTGAAGAGCATCCATGGCACTAAAGTCTGGAAGAGGGCCTTCAAGTCCAATGTTGCCAAGATGCCTATATATCACAATTTCATAATACGCAATTCAGAAATCAAAAACAAACAGAGCATAGCTACTTTGGTCTGGTTGTCTGAACTTACAAATAATGGACCCAACTCAGTCACCCTATCAAAATATTATTACCATCATCTACAAATTAAGACATAAGGGGCTTACTTGGGAAATTTATCAAATAACCTTATGGCTGAAACTTAACCATGAATTGAAGGCATGGGGAGGAATAAGTATGGAGGCTTTTGCAATAAACCACCCTAAAAAATGATGACACATGGAAGCTGAGCTAGATACAAAGGTCGTTCACTCGTTCAGATTCTTCTAAACTGTCGCCTAAAACTAGCAGTAATGGCAGTAGTAGAGTTTTGTGTAGAGTGAAGATTTACAGTTTTGTTATTCGAGGCATCGCGTCGTTGCTGCATTCCACCCAATCCCAATTAAACGATTCAGGAAGACAGGGGTCACCCCTCCATTCTTGGAGCTTATAATAGGCTCTCTGTAACAACGCTAGCGCCTTTACTGCAATCACCACAGGAGAAAAAACAGCAGCAGTTCATTAGCATCTCATCAGAAAGATCAAGTATGTAAGTCGTGAAGATCAGAGAGAGAGAGAGAGAGAGAGGGAAAGCCACCGTCTGTGTAATATGTTCCGTCAGTTAATTCAGCATCTTTTTCGAAGACCTCCATTGCATTGATTATTGGTGGAAGAGTTGAATCGCGGGTGGGGACCAAAGAGAGCACTGTACTAGATGAATTAAAGCTAATGTTGAAGGAAATCTTGAGAGCAGATTGATAAGGTGGGATTATGGGATTCGAGATCGACTCATCGTTCATGTAAACGGTAAACGATCGCTTCTGAGAAGAGTTGAGCTGAGACAATTCAGTGAAGTATGTATTGATGTAGAGCTCGGTTGAATAGGTATAGTTTAATAGTACTATCTGAGACGACTTTCGGGGAGCCGCTGCCGTTCGTAACACAGACTGGGGAGGCTTTTCTAGCAGGCCTGTGTCCAGGATTCGTGTTTCACTCCCAACCGAAATTGGTAATAAGCTTTCTCCTAGTTCTCCTTCCCAATATCGATCAAATGGATCACCTGGAAACCTGCCAATCCCACCAAAACATTGCCAGCATCAGAATCGATAGCTAGCTACTAAGAACTTAATTTGTTAGCATCCATTGTTTCCAACTTCAAAGAACAACATGAATTTTGGTTTCGCTGGATGGGTTTTTATTCTCTGACATAACCTGTAGAAAGGACCGATCGACCGGCCGGACGGTTGTATCAGTGAATTGATATTATACCTTATACGAGTAGAATYCCCATAGTTTGTCCTATCTGAATAGTAAAAGTAGTTTGGATCGAGGTATCCATACATGCCGAAGTCCAAGCTCCTTACTTCAATGGCAGAAATAAAGGGTAATTGACCAGGTTTTGTCATGGCGACACAGATGCTCACTTGATCAAGCTTTGTCACGTACATTCTTTCGTAGTAAACCCATTCATCAGCCTCAATTTCCACGGTATCCCATTTGTTGCCGTCGAACTGAAGATCAAAAATTGGTGGAGACAACCTTCCGTCATAATTTCCGTAGTGAAATTTTGCACGAATAAGGACACGCTCCCCCTTCGGCACGTCTATGGAGTAACAATTCTTCTTGCCCGTGAAAACCCTTAGAGTTCTGTACTCACGCTTACTCACCGAATCCGGGTTTCTGACGGTATGACTTTCGCCGGTTTTAATGTACGTATCATCTCCAACCCACCTGATGTTGTTCTCGTCAACAAAAGATTCAGAGGAGCCGCAGTCGATGCTGACGAACACTATCAAGTTGGATTACATGAACAAGTAGTACAACTTAAAAGGTTCAGAAACCATTAAAGAAACAAACTGAAAATGAATGGATGGAAGATAAAAGATAGGACTCTACGAACCATGCATAATAACTTACCGGCAACTGCTGATGGAGATATGCCAAATAAGAGAGCTCCTGCTATTAGCAGAACACGAACAAAAAGATATGCCATGATCAGATAGATTAGTATGAAGATTCGAGTTGTTTTGGAGAGCTGTTAAGTGTTAATACGGCAATTTATTCATACATCTAGAGTTACAGACGTCTCAATCCAAGCTAGACTTTGAATTTTCTTTTTAGTTATTCGTTGACTCTGCTCTGCTACCGAACCTGAGCCTTGACTTGAGAACCGGTGGTCGTGTGAGAAATTTACCACGAAAGGGGATTTTGCTGTTCAATCCATCGTAGAAATCTTAGCTCCCGTATAATTGGGGAAGTGTCAAGTCGGAATTGATGCCAATTTATGGACGGGAATGGAATGGAGCTATTTTAAATTTTGAAATTCAGAAGAATTTTGAGGTGGAGTACAATCAACTTATTCCTAATAGAGTAAATATTGAAATATTGACCATTCCACACCGAATGGTATCCAATGTATTTATTAGACCTAGTCCAGTGGTACTGGTTGAAATATTGACCAATTTTGCTTTTACAATAAACAATATCAATTCACTAAAATACTTTGATGTGCTAATGCTGAATAAAACTATATTTCATTTCAACAACTAGGTGATTAGGTTTTTGTCCGCCAAGTCAATTAAAGAAAGGTCAAAGTCAACGGAAGTTTTAGTAATTGCAAGAAAAGTCGAGGGTAGTTCAAGGATTTTAAATTCCCCGCCCCGGCCCCGGCCCCCCGTTTTTTTTTTTAAATTGAAGTTGAGTGAGGGAATTAGATGTCAAGCTGTTGACATTTCAACCCATTTATTGTAGTTTCGTGGCAAACTCATGACCAGAGTATGACCTGTTCTTCCTCAAGACTCAGAAGGCAGAACGGAGTCAACGAATGGCACTTCGCTTAGTTTCAGTACCCGTATGACTATATTGCCGTGTTAACAGCTCTCAAAAAAAAAAAAAAAACTCGAATTCTAATCTCTGTCTCTTCTTTCCATTTGCTTRCGATGATGGCACATCTTTCGATTCGTGTTTTGGTAATAGCAGGGGCTCTCTTATTGGGTTTATCCGTATCAGCAGTCGCCGGTAAGTTATTATGATTTATAGACCCCTCTCCTCTAAGTTTCTAACTATTAATTTGCAGTTTTCTTTTCTTTTATGGTTGCTTCTGAACCTTCTGATATTTACTTCTCCATGTAATCCAACTTTGATAGTGTTCGTGAGCATAGACTGCGGCTCCTCCGAATCTTATGTTGATGATAACAACATCAGGTGGGTTGGAGATGATGCCTACATTAAAACCGGTGAAAATCGAACCGTGGAAAATGCGGATTCGGTGCGGTTGCGTGAGTACAGAACTCTCAGGGTTTTCTCGGACAAGAGGAACTGTTATTCCATTGACGTACCCAAAGGGGAGCGTGTCATTGTTCGCGCAAAATTTCATTACGGGAATTATGACGGAAATTCATCTTCGCCAGTTTTTGATCTTCAGTTCGACGGCAACAAATGGACTATCAGTTAGTGTACGTGACAAAGATGGACGAAATAAGCATCTGTCTGGCCATGACAAATCCCGATCAACGACCCTTTATTTCTGCCATAGAAGTGAGGAGCTTGGATTTTGGCATGTACGATTTCCTCCATCCAAATTACGCTTTCCTCGCAACCTGGAAAAACTATGGGAAAAATTCCACTCAGCTTCTCAGGTATATATAATATTGTTTTACCGACTCAACTGCCCCATCCAGTACTCCTTTTTTCAACTGCCCCATCCAAATTACTCTAGGTATGTGCTTGGCTACCAGCGCGAGGAGCTGCAAAGTGCCTATTGGGTATTGAATTGCCACCTCGCTCCTTCCAGGAAGGACGTCTAAGTTCCTGTTTGTGGGGGAGGACCCGATGGATCCAAACCCATTGAAATTGGTTTTGGTTACATAGACCGGAACCAATGGATCAATTACGGTTCTTGAAATATTGTCCTTATTACTATTGGTTTGGCACCAGTTTTACCCAATCTCAAACCAATTCAGACTTGACCCAACGTTAGTGTTGTGTTTTATTTTTTAACCATCTAACAGTTGTTGGTGTGGTCTCCTCGGGTTTTTACATATAAAAAGTTTTTTTGGTATATAGGGCTAGAGAGAGAGAGAAAGAGAATGCTCTTGATGTAAAATGGGTTTTTCTCTTAATTGAGAGAAGGGAGAGTAAAAAAACAGGTTTAGTATCTCCTACGGATATAGACAATAAGGCCGAAGCACATGAATCCTTTGTGTTCTTCGTAGTGTTTATTTATCTTCATGTGACTACTAGCAATAGCAATAGGATATTATTAATAGTCGACTATTAGGAACAAGGACCAGCAAAACTCACCCAAAACCCAAACTATATATAATATTATCAACAGGTTTATTATAAATGGGTACGTCGGATCAGACCCGATTGTCCCAAGAATCAATCGGTTCGACTCTGTGTCTAAAATTTAGATCTATCGGATTTAGTTCAGTTCTGGGTCTTTTGTATTTCCTGTCGGATCGATTCCGGTTCAACCCATTGACATCCTTAATCACAGTGGATTCTGCTTTCCGAGGTGGACCCCACACAGATAAGCTTTATTTGGAGAAAAATTTAAAGAGACCAAATTGACTGTAACCGGTCAGTCATTGGCTGTCCACTTCAGCCTCTTAGAATAGCTTATCCGGAGTGCTTGAGAGCAGCTGAATAGCTTAGCTGGATCTTTAATTAATCCCTCCCAAATAGACCCTGAGCATCCTTCCAAACACTGCACTTGTGAACACAGACATGAGCCTTTTATCACGTCAGCTTGGAAAAGAAAGCATATTCCACTTTAGGGGCGCAACTTGGGCAGCCCAACCCCAGCCTTTCCAGGTATTAAAGGCAACCCTATGATATACATTTGTGTTTCTAACTGATGCAATCTCAGTTGATAGGTTTTCTGGCTATTTGTAGTGGAGACCTCATACCTGGGATCAAACCCCACTCCTATCGGGCTCAAGCCTGCCTAGACCCAAATCCAACCCTTTTGACGAAATTTAACAAATTGGGCTAGGGTTAAAGCTTAAACTCGGCCCAGGACTTGCACCGTAGCTTAATTCAAATCATGACGCTTTATGCGCCCATCAATCGCGTGTTACGCTTGTGTCCTTCGTCAATTAGGCTATGTTTGGTTTGCAGGAAAAGGTAAGGAAAAGAAGGGAAAGACAGGAAAACCTGTACAAGCCTTACCTTTCCCTGCATATTCCTTCAAACCAAAGATAACCTAAAGGAGACAGCGTGGGGATGGATCATGGATGGCTTAAGCAATATTATTGTGAGAAAGAATCGGTGCTGATAAATTAAAGTTTGGTGGAAATGACAGGTATCCAGAGGATCCTTATGATCGATATTGGGAAGCAGAAGTAGGAACCAACCTTATGCCAATTTCAGTTGGGAGTGACACACAAATATTAGCCGCAGACCTGCCTGACAAACCTCCCCAATCTGTTTTACAAACCGCATTGACTATCCTAAATTCATCTGGGAATGGGATCTCATTATTAAATTATACTTCAACTGAGCTCTACATCAATTTATACTTCGCTGAACTGCTTCAGCTCAACTCCTCTCAGAAGCGATCCTTCAACGTTTACACCAACAATGTGCCTCTCTCCCAGCAGCCCATAATCCCACCTTATCTATCTGCTCTCCAGGTTTTCGTCAACATAAACGTTTCCTCTGCCACAGTGCTCTCTCTGTCCCGTACCCGCGATTCAACTTTGCCACCATTAATCAATGCAATGGAGCTCTTCGAAAAAAATGTTGAATTAACTGATGGAACCTTTGACACAGACGGTGGGTCCCTTTCTCTCTCTCTCTCTCTCCCTGTTCTTCAATTTATGAGATGCAATAGGAATCCCATTATAACTGCTGTTTTTTTCTTTGGTGATTGCAGTAAAAGCGCTAGCGTTGTTGCAGAGTGCCTTTTCTAAGCTCCAAGAATGGAGGGGTGACCCCTGTCTACCGGAATCGTTTACTTGGGATTGGGTGGAATGTAGCAACGACAAGATGCCTCGAATATCAAAACTGTAAATCTTCACTCTACACAAACTCTAACGTGAAATCCTTACTGCTACTGTCGTTGCTGCTAGTATTAGGCGACAGTTATTGCCTATCGAATTGTGTTTAGGAGAATCTGAATCATTTTTTGGGGGGCATTTGCAAAAGCCCCGATATGTTCCTCTCTATATATTCAATTCGTGGTTATGTTTCAGCCACAAGGTTATTGATAAATGTCCCAAGTAAGCCCCTTTTATAATATGGAATTGGAATCCTGTCCAGCTCTCCTGTTACCAGTTACCGCTACCAAAAGGATTCTATTTCTGGCTAATGTCTTATTTGGTAGATGATAAGAGTATTTTGGTAGGGTGACTGATTTGGGTCCAAAATGTTATTTGTAAATTCAGGCAACCGGACCAAGTGACATGGATTTGGGTCCAAAATATTATTTGAAACCTCTGTTTGTCTGTTTGTGATTTGCTTTTGATTTCTGAAATGTGAATTGTCACAAGCTTCTTGGTAACCTTGGACTTCAAGGCCCTCTTCCAGACTTCAGTGCCATGGATGCTCTTCAAGTAATGTAAGTCTAATTAAATAGCAAAGAACTATTAAGAGTATAAATAACTGGAACAGAAAAGTTAATTTTCTTTTATCTAATTCGCTCCCCTTTGTACCTTTTGCAGAGACTTGAGCAATAACAAATTAAGTGGAGAAATTCCTGATTTCCTTGGAAATTTTCCACATTTGACACTGTTGTAAGTATATACACAGAAGGGCAAGCTTCCTCTGTACATATATTTTTATGGGTTAATTTTCCCTTGCAAGTCCAAAATCAGAGATAGATTTATTTTCTGATCTATTATTCTGACCTTTTTTGTGAAAGGAACTTGACAAATAACAAATTTAGTGGATCATTACCTTCGTCGCTCGGAGGAAATAGCACAATACAGCTTTAGTAAGTGAATTGCCATTATTGCTAGCCATTGTTGTCACCGCTATCCTCATAATCATCTTTTTATTGTTGTAAATTGACTTTCATTTTATGCCCCTGTTGTAGTACTTCAGGCAATTCAGATTTATGTGAGTTGGGGAAGTCATGTTCAAGTCCACAGAATAATACTAGTCCTATTCCAAACAGTGGGCAGGGAATAAAGAGTGAAAATTTGCTCCTAATCCTTGGAATCATATTTCCAATTTTCTTCATGGTTTATGCTTAAAGAAGGTCAGCAATTCTACTTTCACAGAATGTTTTTTTTTTTTTTTTAAATAAACTCGTATCACAGTTACTGAAATGAAAACTTGATCCCCTCCCCCAGCAGGTCTAATAAGAAGGATGAGTCAGTCAAATCACTTTCTGCAGGAGGCACCAGCAAAGCTTCTATAAGGAGGTGATTAACATGTATTTGGCATGGGCTTGAATGGGGTTCAACAGAAGAGACTATCTTCAGATAGTCATTATGTTGTAGAAATACAAGGGGGATCAAGCTTAGATTAAAACCCAGCTTTCATAGGATTCTGTTTATAGGTGACTCTGTTTTTTATAATTTGTTTTTGTCGAATCATTTCACTAGTCTGTAAGGATAAGGAAACACTCATTTATACAGAAGCACGAATAAAGTGAAAATCCCCATTCCAATCAAAAACTCGAAATAGAAGTAGAGAGCTTACCGAGTTGACTCAGAATGATGTGAACATTAATTAATGCCTAGATTATTTTGGATCCACCACATTGATGTATCATATTACATTTCCAATCTGAGATATGAGTGGTAAGTGTCAAATAGGCCCTATGATACAGACAATGGTTACCCAAAGCATTGCACTACATTGATCTGGTTGTCAATTGGTTTGCACGAGATCTAAACATTGAATTATTTGGTCATCTTAGTGGTTGTGAAAACCCAAGTGTCGATCAGGACAATCCATTCTCATCAATGCATCAACACCTAACTCTGATCTACTCTCATGTTAGTTCAGGTTAGATGTGAGGTTGGTAAGTCTTTATTGTCATTCACAAGGAGATGTTCCCACTGTGCAGCTGCGGTTTTATGTGCACACGGATGTGACCAGCGTTTTGTGGTCAGCAGATCCGCACTTTCTAGGGGCTTCTTTGAGATGCCTAAAAGGAAGTCTTAGACAATTCAGATAATTTTCCTAGCCTTTGAAAGATCCCTGTATTAAAAGAGCCATGAGGTTCCTCCTCTTGACTGTCTTCTGTCCACATCTATTTTTTTTTTTTTATTCTGCTAATATTTCAACCCAGATTTCACTTCCTTAATCTAAACTGTCTAAATTGAATGCTTTCTTTTGCAAACTCCATCTATACCATACTTTTCTTTCCCCCTAATCTCTTACCTGCACAAATTTGGAACAGAAGAGAGAAAACACCATACAAACCTTTCAATTTTTCGCCTTCATCTTTCAACAGTGAACCGGGGCCAGTTCTGGTTTTAAGGTCCGTTTTGCAAATGATTTGGGCCCTGTTTAGCTTGTTAGGTTAATAGGCTTTGATAAGCCTGATATTAATATTTCTTGATAATGCTCATACTTCGAAATTGTTTGGGCTTGTATTTTTCGAGCGTTGATTCTAGCCAAACACAATAGTCTATAATTGTTTGAGTATGTTTCACATGTTTATGGTGTTATAATATTTTACAACTTAGCCCAACCCATAGTAATTAAAAGGACGGAACTAGGAGCAGCCTGTTATTATATGTCTGAGCCCAGTCCAGACTCCTGCTTTTCTATTGCATTTGTTAAAAAGATTTAGCCGGTGTTCAACCTTGAATATCACAAAGTCAGAAACCGTATATATAGCAATGACATTTTCTGCCAGCATAAACTCTGCACACACTATGAAAGCATGGGAATTCAGGCGCCAATGGGAACATCTCCCCATGAATTTGACATGCATGTACCCAATGTGTGGTGGGCTCATATAAACATCTCTTCATTTGATCTGCTCTGTTTGTTTGCAATGCAATTTAATTTGTACAAATGAATAAATTGCAAAGTTTGGTTTATTTTTGTTTTGAAATTTACATTATTTTGCTTCAGGTTCTATTTTACTCCCTTTACACTGCAAGCAAACAAAACAAAGTAAAATTTATTACAAAGTTAAATCAAAATTCAGGCTCAACTCATTTGCACTCCTATACTTCCGACAAATTTTAGTGCAAACAACCAAAGTTCACTAAATTAAATACAAAATTTGCACCCAATTCAGATTTATATGGCTTTTTTTGTAGCTATGCATCTCACCCTTAACTGAGATTCATAGCTATGAATCACCCAAAATTGATGTAAAATCTAAAATCTGCACCACCTGCCTCCTAACTTCATTCTCTATCATATAAAGTAAGGATCACTATCCATTTTTACTCCTTTCAAACAAACAGGCTTCCTCTTATTTTTTATTCTCCGGTATAAATAAGACAGTACAGCAGAATTTGCACTGGGCTAGCTCTATTGGACTCCCATAAATTTGCACTGCAAACAAATAGGTCCATAATAAATTGGCAAGCTCCGCTCACCCAACCAAACCCTTCTGCTTGGACCACCATGAAACCAATCTATGCATGTGTTAGTAGGAATCTTCCACTTGATCCAATCAATTAGCAAAATGCCTAGTAATTTAGCTACTAAAACTCCGTGAGACATACATGGAAGAAAATAGAAAAGATAGAACAAAAATATTAATTAAGTTAATTACAAGGTAGTACATTCAATTATACACACAATTCCCATTCATATATGTAGCATATATTTGCTCATATGCTGTTTGATAGAGTTGCCAGAGGTATTTGCCTCTTATTCAAATTGGAAAAGCTCTGGGGCGTAAAGAATATTCAGGGTTGTTGATGTTTGATCTGTGGCATTTGTTTCCGACGGAAAGACAGGAATTAAACATCAAAAACTAGATTAAATTTCTTTAAATTATGTGTTCCAGAAGAAGAAGAAGAAGAGATTTATTAGTTACTCGAATATTTCACAATTCATGGGCGTTCATAACTCTATCTTCTATCTACAAATCTCTCATGCACAAATGCCATCACATAACAGCTGGGAAAGGCGGATCAAAACACAACCTCAGTGATATCAACGGCACTACAACATAGACATAGATTGATGACGATAGTCTATATTCCCGTCGCCGTCGCCGATCTCTTGATGAACTCTATACAGTCTGCAACGGCTTCGCTGTGATGCGGGTCGTGCGAGTAATGAGCCCGAGGTGCACTGGCTGCCGCTGGTGCGCTTTGCTGTGTGGATTTATTGGAGAGGGAAGACAGCATGATCAAACGCAAGACGGCTCCACGAAATCGCTCCAACAATGAAATGGGCGACAGCGGCCGTTTGCTGCTGCTTTTGTTGTTGCTGCGTCGACTACTGAATCTAGGCATGCAGACCGAACTCTTCACCATTCTCCTTTTTTCTTCCATCTTCCTAGATTGGAGTTGTACGATGGAGTACTGAGCTAGCTGCTAGTTGTGGGTTGGGTTCCTCCTCTATCTCCTTAAGTAGGAAGAATCTAAGACCAGTACTACTCCGTAACCCTTAGCTTGTGCTTATAATAATAATATATTGCCTGCTGGGTCGGGACTTATTCTACAAGTGTTTATGACTCAATCCGGATTGACCCAACCCAGCCCGACCAAAAAACTGCATCTTGGATCAATAATGCTTTGGGGGGTGTGGACCTGCCCCGACCGAACTGCAGAAACATCTTAAATTAATAAACCGAAAAACAGAGAGAGAGAGAGAATCATCAATCCTTGGTCAACTCATTACATCTTCTTCGTCTCCTTAGAAAAGGATTCTGAAAGCATTAAGGGTTTGGACTCATATCGAATGACTGAAATAAAGACAGTAATTAACGTCATCAATTAATCCAACTTGTCATACTAGTAATTACTCAGTTTTTAATTTAATTTTGCAGCTGGGCTTCACAAGGGTGTTCTCTTGTACTACTTGTTATAGAACTAAAACTGTGACATGATCAGAGAGAGACATTACTACCATTATATATTTATATATATAGGCCGATTAAGCCACTATAGCCATTAATGATCAAGCGTAGTTGGACGGTAGTGATGCATGTTTGGTCAATTTGTCTCGACTGATAAGATAAGAATCACATGCTTACATGTGCATGGTTATAAGCTATTAATGCATTCAGGCCTTCACCATACCTGTATTCAATTCGACCGACCAACCAACCGAAAAAATAACCGTTATTTACTCTCAGTTGAACGTCGAGCATTCCACACTTATTTAGTTTACTGCTTACGCCTTATTTAGAGAGAGAAACAGACAAACAGACACAGAGTCACAGAGTCACAGAGAGAGAGATCACTGAGAAAGAAGGGTGGCAAATAGGTAGACAATGATACAAGAGAGAGAGAGAGACAGAGAGACAGAGAGAAAGCGAGCAATCCGGGGGTTAGTAAGATTGGTGGCACATAGCTTGACAGAGATACGTCGTGTAGGTGAATCTCCACTGCGCGCTCGATTTAAATTTGCTGTCCTGTTTGTGGATCAATTTATTATGTGCAGTCTCAAATGAGAGTCTCGTGTTGTCTCAAAAAAGGATGAAATGGGCGGCACTCTGCCCATCGAGGTTAGACGGTCTCACCATCAGTCATCACTCACTAAGGAGATAACAGATTGCAGTATAGCAAAACGATCTATGGCTGATATTATATTTAGGACTTGGGAGATACTTTGGAGGGAGGGTTTTTGCCCATCAGATCAGAATCCACTCAACACGAATGACAGAGACCCAAGTCTGCTAATCGATTGAAGGAAGGGCTTAGGGGGCGGCCCTTGTCGCGTTGCAAATGTTCTCTTTACATGTGATAGTACATTATTGCAGCATCTAATTACATGAAATGTCACAGTTGCAGTTGGCAACTTGCTAGCTACAAGGCCCAGTATTAGTGCCACCCATTGGCCCATGACTTGTGACTGGAATCTGTGATGTGTTAAAAATATATATGGGCTATGTCGCCCAGTTTTGAAAATTGGCCTACACATATATTAACAACCTCACCTAAAGCATGCATTGTGGCTTTTGATTTTATGTTAAATATTTACATGTGCACGTATTATATAGAGAGAGAGATTGAGAGAGAGAGAGAGAAATAGATTCCCTATGTAGGGTTGGATGTCATGTTCTATGTGATGTTTCCAATTTAATATCAATATTGTTGACCTATCTGTGTTTTATTGGAGGTTGCAAGGGAGTGGTGTGAGCATTGGCTATGATGCATGGCTAGACCTGGCAAAAAGTTTACCCAATCCATGAACCCGATCCAACCTAGCCCGAAAAAACAGGGTTAGGGTTTTATAATTAGCGACCTGGAGTTGAAAATGACCCGATCCGATCCAACCTGAAAAAATTGGATTGGGTTGAGTTCGATCATGGGTCAACCCATTGACCTAATTGCCAAGTCTAATTAGGACAATTTGTGTTATTAGAAATTTCCACTTTTTAATCTTTACTATTTAGTCTTTGCTCTTTATCGTTTACCCTTTGAATTGTTGAAAGTTCAAGTTTTTATTTTATGTTTGAAATTTTAAGGTTAATTTCTTTAATTTTGGCATTTTTCATGTATTTTTCTTTATTTTTTAATTTTTAATTATTTTTAGGATGACCCAAATTGACCCATGGGTTAACCCTAACCTA